GGCCACCTTGAAAATAAAGGTGTAGTTGGCACCTTGCCAGGTATAGAGACCCAGGGTAGCTATGTAGCTGTAGTTTTCAAGCTAAATTCAATGTGGCCTGAGACCACGGTTTGCTGCCCTAAAACACTCTGTTCAGGCCATCTTGAAAATAAAGGTGTAGTTGGCACCTTGCTAGGTATAGAGACCCAGGGTAGCTATAGTGCAGCTACCAGGTATAGTACTTCAAGTTCCCTTTCCGTCAACCGCTCGATAGCCTCTACACACGCATAGCAATCCACAGCTTTGAAGTCTCATTCGTGCTTTGAACTTGTGTAGGTGTGTAAGAGGTATAGCAACATAGTATTTATACGGACCCAGGCTAGCTTCAGAAGAGCACTCCGATACTTCACTTATAGCACTCCTTGAAGAGCATGAGTCGCTTGCGCATAGCCACCAGAAACAAAGGATCTTAGTCTTACTGGAAGTGGAATGAAACACCAGGACCTTCAGAATGACCTCTTTGGAGTCTCCAAGTGACCTCATTCGGGACTAAGTGACTAAGTGACCTCATTCTGGGATCTCGGACGGTCACTTTGAAGGTCCTGGTAGACACCAAATGATGTCAATGTGGATAGATTTGGCTACGGCCTAAAACATCGGATTCCATCCAAATCCCCCCCCCTGTGCAGAGGAAAAATCCGGGCAAAATGACACCGAACCCCTCAATTGCCAGGAAGCGCAGGTTTTTGTTTTGACATGGTTACCTCTGTGTGGGCAGAACAAGACATGAAGCAGATTTGACACGCGGCCGCAAGCAGCTGCGCGAGCTCATTTGCTTGCTTCGACGCGCAGTTGTCGAGAAAGGGAAGCGCTGGCTTTCGTTTTGCAGCTTCTCAGGTTTGTTTCTTGATTTCAACCTGAAGTCCCTGGCAGTCAATCAGCACTGTTTGGCAACTCAAGCAATAATAGTATTACAGTAAGTATACAGTATATAATAGTTCAGAATAGTTCTTATATCAGTTATCATATAAACCAAGGCCACTCAGGTCACTTACACTCGAAGCGTAGGGGCCTTTCTCTGGAGGCGCAACGAAGGAGAAATTGCGCTCTCGGTGCCCTTCGATGGCTCCAGTTTTTTGGAGCCCTCTGCCTTCTCGGGTGCTCTTTTCGAGATCTTTTCCGGGAAGTGGCAGAAAATGGAGCGCAGGGAGGAGGGTTCTCTGGGTTCTCCTTCACCTCAGATTCATCAAGTTCGAAGGGATCAGGAAGGCGATATTCCCTCAGTGGCTACTGGAACGGTTGGGATTCCTTTTGCTCCAGTCCCGCCGTTGCCGAATCGTTCGCGTGCGGACTCAGGAGCCTCAACGAGCCCTCAGCCTTCGGGTGCGGAGTCGGACCGTCTCCCAAACATCATGGATTCCGATGTTTTTTCACTTCTTACATGGTGCTTTGAATGCGCCTCAGACGAAGCATCGGACCTTGATGCATTTAGGACGCTCTCTGATGGAAGACAATCTTCAGTCGCCGACTGCGGAGCAGGCTGTGAACTGGAAGTTAGCAACCGCGTGTGGCTTTCCTTTGGAGCCGGCCGAGAAGAGCTGGCTGCATCACGAGCTTCTGGGGAGCTTGGGCTACACTTTTCTGGCATCTGTCGGCCCCTTGGAGCGTACTCCTCATTGGATTTTGGCCTCCGACGAATGGTTCCGACGAGTGCAGAACGTGGACACTGCCTTGGAGACCCTCAGAAAAGCGCCTTTACCGCCGTGCGGAAGTCCAAGGAAGGGTTTTCCTTGGAGCCCCGTTTGGGTCAAGTGGGTCGGAAAAGGTTCGCGAGGCTGCGGAGGAGTTAGTGAGTGTCCTCGAGAAGCACGGGGCGCAGGCTTTTCACGTCTCCTCTCCGTTGTACTACGAAGCGGGATCGGGCCTCTCGCAAGATGTTACTCTGCTCCTGTCACGCCAGGGTGCTTACAACAAAGGAGACGCCTGCCCCGTGCAGCGTTTAGCCAATGCAGATCAGGGAGTGTTCATTGTGGAGCACAAAGAGAGCTGTATGTGGTGCGAGCAGGGGGGCTCTCAAGGAGGATTGTCGTCCTTTGGCCGCAGCTCGAGTAAAGAAGCACCAGTTTGCGCTTGCTTCCGGCATCTCGCCATTTGGGGAGAACGATGCGCCTGTTGCGGCGTTAATCACCGATCTTCTGCGGAAGGGAGGGGTTCCGTGTCCGTGGTTGCCCATACAAGAGGAAGAGTACGAAAGGAATCTCCCAATTCCTGCAGATCTCTCCGAGGACGGGCTACGTGCCACCAGAGTGCTCGGTTTCTACTTTTCGGAGGAATGCGTCCCACTTTCGGGGGTGACATTTCCGTCACGTTTTGGGATCGGGAGTTTGCTCGATCTGTCTGGACGCTGTCTGGAACAGTTGGATCCCCCGATCAGTTCCTGGAAAGGCATTACCTTCGGAGTCGGAAGCGAGGAGTTCTCTTTGACGGAACTTTCCTCAAGCCTAAGGATAGGGGTCAAGCAAACGGCGGCGGCAACGATGTTTCTCCTTCGCCAGGCTCAATTGCTTCCGGATTCGAGCTCCAAGACGTCTCTCTCCGTTTGCACGAGGGGTACGCAGAGGATGCAGCGTCGTGGAAAGCCCTCTGGAAGGCTGCTTCTGGAGACAGCTCGGTTTACTCCCCTCTTACCATGTGGAGAGTGAATATTCACGCCAGTGCTGTGAAGACGAACCGAAGAAACTCTCACGACGAGCATATAGTCTATTTTCGCAGCACTACGAGGGACCTTTTAGAGAACCTGCTCAGAGCAAATCAGGCTCACCCGTGGGGGCTCTTACCTGCAGGTCAGCGAGGCGAGATCGACGCGATTACGTTGGCCCGGGACCTTTTCTTCCTTGCGGAGAAGTCAGTAGAAGGAGTCAAGGACTTAGGCCTGGGCGCCTTAGATCCCGCAGGTATTCCTCAAGAGTTCTTTTCGAGCACCGAAGCGAGGGAACACTTCATGAGTTTTTTCTGGATGGCGTCAGGCGTTCGCTGGGTGGAGGCCCTGCGTTTTGTTCTCTCTTGTTCGGTGCAGACTTGCCCTGTACCAAAGGCCGGAGTCTTTTGTGCTCCCGACACGCGCCATTGTATGCCCGCGTCCGTGTACAGTGTTTGGCGTCTTCAGCATTTTAGGACTTGACGGGTGGTGCGATGAAAGACATGAATGTGCTGTCACCTTTAGGCATGGAGCTTGTGTGCGTAAGTTTACTGACATGGAGATGATTGAGATACCCACTGCTTCGCGCATTGTGCTGTCTGTTGTGACCAAAAATAAGGAACATTGCCTGCCAGTTCTTGCTCCTAATAAAGCGTCACATACGGCAAAAAGAGTAGCTGACATGATTTCGGGGCAGGATACACGTCTGCATCAGAAGATCTTTAAAAGCGCGAGAAGAGTCTTGACGCATATAGGTCTGAAGCAATGGGACCCCCCTGATGACTCATCATTGATGCAGCATACAGGAATGCCGGAGCAGCAAGCAGGGTCAGACGAGGCCTCACAATCTGCAGGTCCGACGATTGCCATCTCGGAAGTCAGCAGTCAGCCACCCCCAGTAGGACCACAGCCACACATGGATGTTTCATGGCATCACAGCTGGCACAGGGTACGGAGCTTTGTGGCAGAGTATATGCGTACCATATCGGGGAGGCACATTGGGGGGCAACCCGATTGTCCAGCTAATTGCCTGTGAGAATGGCATCTCTAGCAGCATAGATGCAGTTTGTCCAACTGGGATTTTAAACCCTGATTGCCCAATCCATCATTGTACGGATTGGTGTCAGCAGCAGACTTTTACGTTTGACTCTAGATTCACTCGAGCATTCCCATCTGCTGTTGAGGTCTTTCAAAACATTCCGACAGTAGTGATAACTGACCAGGTACCAAACCAACACTGCCCATTGATCGTTCATATTGCGCACGCACAACCGATTTTTTTGTGTTTATGTCGCAATAACGATTGAAAGGGTGGCTGGAATTCTTCAATGGATTCATTGGAATGTCGTCGAGCTGGAGCATTTCACCTTGACCTTCAATGGTAGGCGAATACTAGGCGGGGATGACATTTTCATACAGCCTGGCGATATGCTCAGAATCCGACCAGTTACGGAAGATGAAATCCTCAATCCAACCAGTTCGACAGAAGAGCCGACCTTTAATTTAGAACAACTGTCACATGCCACTTGGTCCACTGTCTCGGATTTACAACAGCCTCCTGTTGAGACTGGGGAAAGGGAATCTTATGATGAACAGACTATGCCCCGTCCCATTCCATCACAGGCAGCTGACTCTAGACAGGTGGGAGCAATAAGAGCGAGAAGAGAGATCTGGCAGAGCAAATACCATAGATTCTGAGGACGAAGCAGATGATGGATCGCTTCTTCTCACATCAATTGCCCTGATCAGTACTCTTGAGGCCAGAGTACACGATGAACATGTCGTTGCACCTAGCTTCACTGAGCCGATGGAAGAACTGACCTGGGAGCCTGAATTCCAGGAGGACTGGATTGATGTAGTCGCGAGAAGAGAGATGGCCCATGCAGACTGGAACTGGGGGACGTCGGCCCTAATCCTCCGGCCTGAAGAGCCTTTGCTCCCTACACGGTTGGAAATGCGAGTCAGTTGGTATACACCTGATCATTTCGACCTTGCTGGGGTTCTCTGGACGGCCTGGCCGGACCTGAATTACATTCGTTTTAGAATTCATGAGGTTAGGAGTCTTTACAGGATCGATCAGCACAACGGACATGTCACTCTTCTGATTCGGCCGCATCGCTGGGGCCTGACATTCGAGTCTCGAGTCATTGCAGTCGAAGTAGTCAGACTCCAATGGAATAGCATAATCTCGAGAATGACTGCTCATTTTGCAGGCAAGCATGTCACTCCACGTGCCATTGTCCAAGCATGCAGAATTCGCGATTGTGCTGTATTCCCATGTGAAGTCCAGAAAGACGGAGTGATCCACATGCCTGACGAAAGACTAATCCTCAGCAATGGGGACCTCATTACAGTAGTTGTCAGATCTGGCCGCAGCGTGGGTCATCTCTTCACGATTCCGAGTCCTCCCTTTGAGGCAGGATGGGATCCTCGGAGATGGAGATCGCAGGAACAACCCTTTCTGATTGCCGGAAGTATCCTTGTTTTCAGACTTGCAGATCGTTCAAACATCGCAAACAGTAGAATTAGTATACCGATAGAGACCTGGCATAATTGGGAAGTTGCATATAGAAGGATCGAACAGCAATGGCCTGATATGAGATATATTTTCCTAAAAAAGGTCAATGTTCACGCTTCTCGCAGGTTCTGTCCGGAGCTTGCAGATAACGTAGAGGCTATCGTCCTTGAAGAAAGAAGGGGAACTCCGGACCACTGCACTTTGATCCTCATCTGCCGGGACAGAGACTTGGATGACGTTTCGATATGGTCTCAAAAGCTAGCCTTTCCCAATGCTGAGGCTGAGATGGTGGAGCTCTGTGGTTGGACTGATATTTGTCAGAGATCTAACTCACTGTGCACAGTCTCATGGAATGGGAGGCCAGTTCGCTTTGTAGATCAAATCTTCCCATACGATGGCGACATCCTTGAAGTCGAGATTGAGGGACGCCAGCCATTTTGCTTGGATTCGGGTCTCTCAATCAACTCGGGTCGATATGACTCCATCGCAAGCCAGTCTGCAATCGCAGACACACAGGAGGTAGATCACATGATGCTTCTCCAACTGCACAATGCCAAATCAGAGATTCGAACAAGGAAAGGCCCTGCAGGTGAAATCGGGGAGCTCTACCCTATATCCTGCAGTTGCTGTCCTTGTTTATTCCAATTCAATAACTGGCAGTGCGGGTTACAAGAAGTCAACCAGACAAGACAGGGCTGCAACAATACAATCAGCCAAGGTGGGTGAGACCTCCAACAAGCGGACTCCCACCACCTGGTAATCCCGATAAATGCATGATCAGTTTGAGCAAGGCTATACATCAGATTCCAACTCCCTTGGGACGTGTTGCCTTGAGGCTGGGAGACCTTCTGCCGATCCCAGGCACTAGGGATCAGGGTGACGCGGACAGTGCCAAGCAAAGAATTAACACCGTAGACAGGAGTTGCCATGATTCCATGCGACTGCCAGACCTGGCAGCATATTTCTCCTTGCAATTTCCCGAAGAAGCGCTTTCGCATGATCTGGATAGGCTCAGCAGTCTGGAGAACACCGTTAGGGACAGTCTGCAAGAACTGTATTGGTGTCTATCGGAAGACTGGAACAATCAGCATGTCCAGAGAATTGCTGTGTTCATACAACCGGTCACTCAGCTCATGGGCATTTGCGGTCACATTCTTCGACGGGCCGGAATGTTGTGTACTGGGGTACCAAGCTGGCAGGGTAGAAGTGGATCAGTCCAGGCAGGCCTTTTTCGGAAGCTCGACACATTCAGCACAACAAGGGGAAATTGAGGCACTTGTCTGGTCGTCATGGTGGATAATTCGGTGGTTATGGTTGACCGGGTGGAAAGGACCAATTGAATTTTGCTGGGATTCCACGACTGCGGGCGGTAAAGCATCGGGGGCGTTCAATGCGGGCGACCCTGCTGGGATCTTGGTCAGACAGCTACACCAAGCCTTAGAGATGCTTGTAGCCCCCAACACCATCCAACATACACATGTACGAGCACATACGGGAATTATCTACAACGAGCTTGTTGATGCAGCAGCTAAATGGGCCCTCACGGCGCCTGATTCATGGGCCGACATGGGACAGTTCCAACAGCTCCGTAGAGCATTAGGCAACAGTCTCGATTGGATGTGGACCTATTTTCTGCCACGAGACTCAGAAACTGGTTTCGTTCCAACGGGAATTTCCAGAGCATGGACCGGTACGTATACCGATGAGGATGTGCAGCTTGTCATCGATGAAATGGTTCCGGGCGCCACCAATAGCAAACAGGCACTGCGGACCGTCACATACACGCTGAGACTGGCTAGCTACAACGTATTGTCAGTCAAAGACCCCGTGATGGAAGAAGCTCCTGGAATCGGCAAGGTTGCACTACTTAGAGACCAGTTTAGCCAAGGCAAATACCATATAGCTGGCTTGCAGGAAACTCGCAACAAGTCAGGAATGGTTGTAAGTAA